GACTGGAATATATGATGACGGGAACACACAAAAATAAGCACGGTAATACTTAATTACATTTTAAAAGTTTACTTAATCAAAATTCATGAGAATTTTTCTCAACAACCCAATGAGAGAGTCAGGGCTTATAACATTTGAATCTTCAAGAAGATTATACCAGGGCAGCGGAACCATTTTTACATAGGGCTCTTTGAGACACGTTCATTACGAGTTAGACACAAAATAGGATCATGGTTTATGTAAAAAGGGATCGCAAGGTGATCTTCCATACATATAAATGAAGAAGAAATGTGATGATCTTAATGTTTTTGTTTTTTCATAATCTAACCGTAGAATATAACGCTAAAGTAGAATTTTCTTGAAGATCTTTTTACATGTGTTGTAAAATTGTGTTCTTAAAACTGTGTTAAATTATTACATTCTTCATCACTCGACGAGTGAAAAATGGGCAAATTTATCAGCTCCGGGACTTGGACTGTAAGTACCGGCGGGGAACTTTACATAGCCACTTCGCGTTGAATATGGAGACAGAAACTCTGAAACGTCCACAATACATCGTACATCTGCACTTTACCGTACGTAGAGAAAGGGTAGACCTGAAAGTATTGAGCTTTGTCTCATAACGGCGTACCCACGGCTGGTTAAACATAAAAAGTTCTCTTGATCGAAGTACACTGTAACTCTACGTAACAATACTATAGATCAGTAGTATAGGTGCATAGTCGTCCCTCCGATGGATAATATAATCTAATCCTTTTACTGCAGCAAAGGCAAATTGCTGCCATCAGAATATTCTGTAGAAACTTACTGTTACACTTCGTAGCTCTGATGGCGTATGATCTCGTAATCAGTGTGGTCCATTTGATCGTGGCAGAGACATCTGCTAGTTACTCTTCAGCTAACTTGGTATACTCCATATAATATTACAGTGGAGTACGTCCGCAGTACTACAAGTGATTAATATGTTTAATATACGCCTACTAATCTCTTTGATGGGACAAAAATTTACTCGTCCTCAGCTAGCTATATTTCAATGGGACAAGCGACCCCTGTCACCAGCCCACCTCCTGCTGTTCCCATATCACAGGCACAAAACAGCAGTTCTTCCTGGGTAACGTTCTTGCACGAAAATTTAATGTAAATTATGCTATATAACATTTGAAACAATTGTGCTAGAGAAAGTAAAAAGTTTGCCCAAGTTTAGTTTTTTCTCAGAAGTGAACATATGGCAGTAAAAACGATATGAACTTTTTCCTGTTGAATCTACCTTGTTTTTAGTGCATTTTTGTTAGTGACTGTACTGTGACACGTTTAGAATTGTTGCTCCATTGACTGAAAAAACCAAGGAACTGTAAAGATCTGAGATCTGATTTTAGTCAAATAAATGACAAATAAAATATCGAAGATTTGAGGTTTGCAGGATGGTGAAGATGAAGATTGGCATCTTCTGGGTTGAGACTTGCAACTGATTACCATTGAATGGCAGGAACATTGGTAACCACGTACAAGACTACTTGGCGTCGTAACCCAAAAGACTGTAGTTAACAATGCTAGTGAAGTTCACGGAATAATCAGGGTTCAGTGGTAGGTGCATGAGCCGAAGGATCTACAAATTTTCAGAGCAGGGGATACAAATATTGTTATTGATGATGCCGTGTGTGCGTGCGAGTGTGTGTGGGGCAATAGAATGCACTAACCTCAACGCACTTGTTGAACTTGAAGATCAAATCTATGAAAGTATCTTGGAAAACAGAAGAATCAGCATTGACAAAACTTTGTCTGGAGTGCGTATAAAGTATGGATAGACGAGATGCAACAATTGGATAATGCCAAAACGAAAACACTTTATTCTGATGGACTCAAGAAACCTTTGCATCGTTACAGTTTATGTAGAAAATTAAGGTAGATGTGATATATATAAAACTTTTAACGGATTTAAAATTCCTTTCAACGGTTTACTTAAACTAAAAGTTCTCTCGGTTTGTTTCGTAACACCTGCAGGGGTTTCAATATAATGAAATTGATTCCGCTGTATGTCGCATGGATGTTATATTTAATTCAACAGTATAAATATGTATGTGTTTACACAGTTAACTGCTCTTACCGAATCAATATTCTGTTACATCGACAAACTGCATATACTTTTGGTTGTGTAGAGGTACAGAATGTTACCTATGTTACATATTTAATTGCTTGCTTTTGTTTATTTTATGATGATGAGATATAAAACTCAATTATGGAATGACCCTGGTCATAGCTACAATTTTTCATCTTTAAATCACGCCCAAATTAAGATGTGCATTTTTAAATAAAAATGGAAACCTTTCGCTGCTGTCAGTTTGTAAGAGAAATTTCTTATTACAAATTGAAGTTTATTTTCAGCAAGTAAGAAAATAAATTTATGCCAGCGAATTTTATTTTCAGAGAGTGTTGTAAACGTCGCCTAGAGTTGTCTTTGATTAGCCATTGGCAACGAGATGCAGACCAGCTGTCTGTACTTTAACTGAAAACAAGTGTCATTAAGATGTCGGTGAGCTCATCCAGTCCCTTATCACAGCATCACGAGTCCTCATGTTGGGGATGGACATGGTCTTCGGTTACGAACGGCAGTTGCGAATATATTTAATACATAATGACCAGTCCCAGGTGGCCTTACAACTGGAGTACTGTCTGGAGGGCCAGGATACCCCAAAACGTGAAGATTTTAATCCTATGAAACCATACAAAGGCCTCACTAAACATCGGGATCGCTTCCTGTCATATCCGTTCCTGTTCTTATAGCACTATCATTCATCTGAGCAACTGTCAGCGTTGTTGAATAGAACGCATTGTTAATTATAAAGTCAGATTTAAGGTTCTCACGGCAGTGAGTACGAAGATGGTCGTCTTCTGGGTTGTTGTACCGTGTAGTCTGGTATAAGTTTACCGACGTTTCAGAGGTGCTTACTGCCTCCATCACCAGCATTAATAGTCAGAAATATGGGAACTTCTTATCGGTCTCAGCGATTATTTTCTTCTTAGGAAGAGCTCTGCTCTGTAGAGTTAAGATGTATGTTAGTCTGCTGGTTCCAAATCTTCTTTGCCGATACGATAGACTTCCCATATTGATTCAGGTTTCAATTTATGATCCTTCGTATCAGCCAGCCTGCCATCATATCGGATTATTGCCAGTATTGTGCAAGCACAATATATTATCCCCCTCCCCCAAAGGAAATGCATCGCATTCTTTAAAATAGTTGCAGGCATTAGAATCTTGGTATGAATATAAATTGTTGCAATGTGAGTTTGCAGATTCTCATGCCGTTGTCTGTGAAGACGGCCTTCTTCTGGGTTGTTGAATCGTGCAGTCCGTTCAAGTTTACCGACGTTTCAGAGGTGCTTAGTGCATGCATTAACAAGGCGATCGCCCTGGTGATGAACGCAGACTACATGGTGTAACAACCTAGAAGATAGCCATCTTCATCTTTATGCATTATTTACATTTTCCTCAACTTACTGATTTATCTTACATTTTGTATTCGTAATTACTAATGTGTGCGTGGGTCTTTACTTTCCAAACACTGGAATTGAGGGTTTAAATTCTACTCGAGACATGAATGTATGTCCCATTATTTCAGTGTTGTGCTTTCCTGTATAGAAAGAGCCCATGCGACAAAGCTCACCCCCCCTTCCCCCCCCCCCCA